AAAAAAAAAAATTCGATTTTTTGAAAGTTCTAATTGGATTTCCCCCCTTAAAGGTCGATATTCATAGTCGAATCTTATTTCAAGATCGTCTTAAGTAATGTCTTAAGATGCGAATATGGCTCTGTGATTGGTTGATGACATCTTAAGACAGTACTTAAGATGATCTTAAATCACAGATCTCTATACTGAACTAAATTGCTAACTGAGATTTCGAACTTGCGTCGCATGAGGTTTCCGGTTGTATGCAAAAAAATGGCGACGGTCCTGTGTGTGTGACGCTGTGTGTGACGTGTCATTTGTGTGAGTATTTACAACGTACAATGTGAGTCAGCGTGGCCATTAAATTACTGTCGTAAAACCAAAAATTCCAGCATCTTATTGCATCAAAAAATGTCGTAACGAAAAAATAGATAGTATTGGGCGTTATTTGCTCTGCTCATTTTCAACAAAAGAATTTTATGACTAAATGAAGCGACTATTTTTTCGCATACACCGGAAACTCTATCGGACGCAAGCCATTATATGCTTTTAGATAGCCTATTAGCAATCTAGTTTAGTCATAGACATCTGTGTCTTAAATATAAGATCGGACTATGAATACCGGCCTATGGATCAGCTTGGGGTATGTTCGGAAACTCGGTATCAGTTGGTCTGTTATTTTTAGCTAACTGCTGAACTGATGCAATAAATTAGAGCGAGACAAAATATATTTTCTTACTCTAACTTATTGCACCAGTTCAGCAGTGCAGCTAAAAAGAACAGACCAAAGTAGTATTTACATTAGTATTAATAAACAGTGTTATTTAAGATAAGGTTGGTATAATTCTTGATAACTGTAGTGAATGAATGATTTGACTGTGAATATTTTGGAGATTATGTGGTGATATATATATGATAAAATAATGTAATATAAAAGAATACAAATTATATGCAATATAATATATATAATAATTGCTACCAAACATGATAGCGATTTCGGACCGATTTGTAATTTTTTAACTAAGTTGTAGGCGTGTGTCGGAATTAAATAAAATCAAGTTAACGCTTCATTAACAAATGTCTCATTTGTAATTAAATATCCCAGACAACATAAAGTCGACTAAAAGTCAACTATAAGTCGACTTCAAAAGTTGACTGCATGTCGACTTATAGTCGACGAATGTCCTGATAAAAATCGACTGTTAGCCGAATTTTCAAGTCGACCTACATTCATCTTAAAGTCGACTATAGTCGTCGCACCGACCGATGTGAACTTAGCGCCCAAGTTAAAAAAAATAAAAAAATGTTTATACTATAGGTTTGTACCTCGTTTGTACCCGTTTGTACCACAAATTGTTTCGTTTGTATCTAAAGGGTTAAAAAGTTATAGAGGTGCAAAAAAATCGCCAGCGCCCAACATTAAGATATTTAAAAACGGCCGACGCCATTCGAAAGAGCATCGTTTGTATCCGTTTGTACCACCTTTTAAATCGTTTGTATCTCAAAGGAACCGGAAGTACAATATTGTTTTATATCCGGGAAATATAAAACACCACAAATTTTACAATTTTAAAGATATCTAAAAACGGCCAACGCCATTCGAAAGAGCATCGTTTGTACCCGTTTGTACCTCCTTTCAAATCGTTTGTACCTCAAAGGAAGCGGAAGTACAGTCTTTTCAAAATACGCTCAAGAGGTACTTCCACCATTTTTCACTCTATCTGAAAACGGCCAACGCCATTCGAAAGAGCATCATTTGTACCCGTTTGTACCCCCTTTTAAATCGTTTGTACCTCAAAGGAACCGGAAGTACAGTCTTTTCAAAATACGCTCAAGAGGTACTTCCTCCATTTTTCAAGCTATCTGAAAACGGCCAACGCCATTCGAATGAGCATCGTTTGTACCCGTTTGTACCCCCTTTCAAATCGTTTGTACCTCAAAGGAACCGGAAGTACAGTCTTTTCAAAATACGCTCAAGAGGTACTTCCACCATTTTTCAAGCTATCTGAAAACGGCCAACGCCATTCGAAAGAGCATCGTTTGTACCCGTTTGTACCTCCTTTTAAATCGTTTGTACCTCAAAGGAACCCGAGGTACACTCTTTTCAAAATACGCTCAAGAGGTACTTCCACCATTTTTCCTTTGAGGTACAAACGATTTGAAAGGTGGTACAAACGGGTACAAACGATGCTCTTTCGAATGGCGTTGGCCGTTTTCAGATAGCGTGAAAAATGGTGGAAGTATCTCTTGAGCGTATTTTGAAAAGACTGTACTTCCGGTTCCTTTGAGGTACAAACGATTTGAAAGGAGGTACAAACGGGTACAAACGATGCTCTTTCGAATGGCGTTGGCCGTTTTTAGATATCTTTAAAATTATAAAATTTGTGGTGTTTTACATTTCCCGGATATAAAACAATACTGTACTTCCGGTTCCTTTGAGGTACAAACGATTTGAAAGGTGGTACAAACGGGTACAAACGATGCTCTTTCGAATGGCGTTGGCCGTTTTCAGATAGCTTGAAAAATGGTGGAAGTATCTCTTGAGCGTATTTTGAAAAGACTGTACTTCCGGTTCCTTTGAGGTACAAACGATTTGAAAGGGGGTACAAACGGGTACAAACGATGCTCTTTCGAATGGCGTTGGCCGTTTTCAGATAGCTTGAAAAATGGTGGAAGTACCTCTTGAGCGTATTTTGAAAAGACTGTACTTCCGGTTCCTTTGAGGTACAAACGGGTACAAACGATGTTCTTTCGAATGGCGTTGGCCGTTTTCAGATAGTTTGAAAAATGGAGGAAGTACCTCTTGAGCGTATTTTGAAAAGACTGTACTTCCGATTTCTTTGAGATACAAACGATTTGAAAGGGGGTACAAACGATGCTCTTTCGAATGGCGTTGGCCGTTTTCAGATAGCTTGAAAAATGGTGGAAGTACCTCTTGAGCGTATTTTGAAAAGACTGTACTTCCGGTTCCTTTGAGGTACAAACGATTTGAAAGGAGGTACAAACGGGTACAAACGATGCTCTTTCGAATGGCGTTGGCCGTTTTCAGATAGCTTGAAAAATGGTGGAAGTACCTCTTGAGCGTATTTTGAAAAGACTGTACTTCCGCTTCCTTTGAGATACAAACGATTTGAAAGGATGTACAAACGGGTACAAACGATGCTCTTTCGAATGGCGTTGGCCGTTTTTAAATATCTTAATGTTGGGCGCTGGCGATTTTTTTGCACCTCTATAACTTTTTAACCCTTTAGGTACAAACGAAACAATTTGTGGTGCAAACGAGGTACAAACCTATAGTATAAACATTTTTTTATTTTTTTTAACTTGGGCGCTAAGTTCACATCAGTGTCGCACCGTCGTTTTAAAGTCGTCACATCGTCGTCTGCAGTCGTCGTAAAGTCGACTTATTACAGTCTACTATTACTAGATAACGCAGGACCGAAAAGTTAACCCGATAATAAACTTCTAAATAGTTAATATTCCACTCTTTTGACAACTTGTAGATAACTCATGATTTAAGATATCTTTTAATCATTCATCTGTAAGTTGTCAAAAAATGTGAAACGTAAACCATTCAGAAGTTGACTATTCAGAAGTTAAGTGTTTGTTCTCATTGTGTCAGCTGAAAGTCTTTTAATGCAGTTAACTTATTTTTCCAATTCCAAGCAACACATTCATATTAAAGTGTAAAATTTTGAAATTAATTAATACATTAATTATACATTTATACATAATTATTAATTTATACATTAATTATTTATCTAGGATTCCAATCTAATGGAAATTCATTGTGATCACATAAACCTTATTTATTTTTATTTTACCCAACTTATTTGGCTGTTAAAGCATATATATGTATACATTCTGCAAAACTGAGATATAAAATATGAACGTTATATCTATAAAATTTTAGAAGTAAATGATTGTACTAATAAATTTTATTAACACATATTTATTTTATACGTATATAATTAAAGCAAATATAATTAAAGCAAAAATATAATTTAATAAAATAAAATGTCAGGGTATAATATGTATCATAACAAACCTACCTTTTTTAAAAAAAAGGCAAAAAAAAGGCGCCAAGTGCATGCGCTTCCACTTATAAATAAATATTATAAAAAAAGTTATTGATAAAATTCTCACAAAAAGAAATGATATCAAACGGTTTACGCCAAGTGAAATTAATTTCATATACAATAAATATTGTTATAACTACTTTGTGTGTATGAATAATATATTAAGTATCTACTGACTTTATTTTTTTATAATTACACAGAATTGGGAAAAAATAGTTTTTAAAAGCTTATTTAATAAACATACAAAAATAAAAATTTTGGGAAAAGTTAAATAAAATTTCACACGCACACAGAAAACAATATGATTATAACAATATTTATTGTGTATGAAATTAATTTCATATACACTTGGCGTAAACCGTTTGATATAATTTCTTTTTGTGAGAATTTTATCAATAACTTTTTTTATAATATTTTAATATTCTCTCCGTGTAAAACATCTTTCTTACAAACTGTAAGCAATTTTTCTTTAGACATGTCTACAGAGTCCGTTTTACGGTTTTCCGCGCTCTTATTCTTTCATATTCCTGAATTAATGCCTTTATAACTATTATGAAATTTGCAAAATGATACACACACACACACACACACACATATGATTTCTCTGTTTAATTTGATCCTTTCTACCTGAAACTAATGTTATATCTTAGATTATCAGACATACACCCTATATATTATGAAATATATGACGAGATCGAATTGAAATTCTTTACGAAACTCCAGATTGCGAATGACAACAAATAGAAATTTGTGGCACAAATATATATCTATCTTTTTTAAAGTAAAACGAAAGATCGTACTATTTCACAATACTTCATGATAAAGTTAACTATTGATCACGTACTTAGGATGGTATGTAGAAACATTAATTGAATTCCAGCATTTTTGCGCCAGTCTCGTGATTATTTCGTTTCTGTCTGGTTTCAGGGAACAGACAATAGCTCGAAAATGGGGTTGAGAAGACGGCGTAATAAACTGTGCGGGACGAACTAATCAGTCTAAATCCCGTGAAAGCGCCGAAGAAAATGATGACTGCCATGGCCCGGTTGCCCTGCAAGCAATCATCGCCCTCGCAGCAGCCGAGAGTGAACAATTTCGGAAACAGCCGGAATCCTTACTGGGACATGCAGGCTAGGCATCCTGCACCGCCGTATGTCAGGAATCACCATCGGCATACCGATCATACAGGTAAGGGAGCAGCCGAACGCATTGCGAATCGCATCGCGAATCGATACGTCAAGGCATCCTCGGTGTATGTACTTACCCGGCGAAAGAAAAAGCACGCGAGTTTCGAATCGTTGGCGTTCTTGTCAGATGGGATGATGTGTGTCTGACTTGTGGATTTATCGACGAATGACTGGTGAAATTCTGTTTGCTTCTGTGCATCATTCGTCATCTGAAGTAATGTAACAGGAATATAACACCACTTCATTCTTTTTCTTTTTTACGAGTAATGCCATTGTAATTCTGCCAAACATAAAAGCAAGGCTAAATTGATTGTTCTTTTTTTTTGGCTCACCCGATGATATCATTTTAGTTTTGACATTTCTTGTTGTTAGTGATATTAATTAATGAACAATACGCTCGGATTATACAGTTCATTATATTCCAATGAAGCATTATTATTATGTTTCGCTCGGCTTGCGAAACAACTTTTACGAAACTCGGCTTATCTTCGTCATTAACGTTCCATTGTGAGAGACCGTGTCGTATCCGATTAAGGACGAACACTGATAGCCCGATAACCTCGTCCCGCCATTTTAAAACGAATGCAATATCGCGATTCGAGCCAACAAATTCAACGTTGCGATAACGCATCCCTATATAATACTTCGTAATATTAAATTACGATCTCAAAGATCAGTACGCTGTACCGATCATGTTTTCTGATCATGAGGCCTTTTAGCATTCTAAAGAAAGGGATCGTGAAACATCGGCCGACGTTCGATTCGTATGAAATATTTTCGCAGCAGAGAGAATTGCAAAAGAAGAATCGCGAGAATCATGTTATCACTCACGTCGCAAATTATGTCATTGTTATAAGCTCAAAGTTGCTGGTTATGTGTTTAAGATTATCGAACGGACAAAAGGATGATCTCGTGCGCGCGCGTGTAATTTTATCAGCGTACAATCAACCGTTTCTATTTACAAGGGATTCTACTTACAAATTAAATGAAATTGATTCTTCCCTCTGTGTAGATCCCCGTTACATATTTTGTACACATAGAAAAATACATATTATATTCAAGTAAATGTTACTTGTTTCAAGAACTTTATATATAAGTTTATATATCCAAAAATCTTTCATAAGTTCATCATAAGCACTACATTTACTCAAAATACATTCTGTATCTTAATCAGTTTAACATTTTAATAAAGATATTAAATTAAAACAAAAATTTGCGCACCAACTCTTTTTATTTGATGAAGTTTGATAATTTTTTTTAAAGAAAATAAATTCTTTTTCCAAGTACATGACAATGAGCTTTTTTATAATCTGTGATGAATGATGAAATTATTATCGAGAAAATATTCTTTCTTGAAAATAATCATTTATTTAAAAGAAAGAAAGTAAACTGAGCAATTGCTTTTCTTAGCAATGGGATGATATTTTATTATGTGTACACACAGCAAAATACACATTACGTTCATTACGTAAATATTACTTGTTTCAAGTATTTCTTAAAGAAGGATGTCGAAAAACTGCGTTTTTTTTACTACGAGTGGAATCTAAAATTCGAGTTCTATATGATCGAGCACATCTTAAATAGTATCATAAAAAATAGTGGATACATCTTGGAACAAATGGATACAGGAATATATCCTGAAAGAAATGGAGTTAAATACGCAAATATGTATAGTAGGATGCTATAGTTCATATATTGCGATCGGTGTATGGTATTTCAGTTATACCAGACATCAAGGAATAATACCTGCCAACTATTTAAATAATTATTTTATCGAAGATGCTGATATGATCTTGGATGATTCAAACTTATACTCTGGTGATGAGAACGATGAGTAACTTATTTATCTAATATGGAACATAATTCGACACGTTACCAGAAAGTCTCTTGTTCTACTTAACGTGTTAAACGATACATTTTAGCAGGCAAAAGTTTCTTGATGTCTGGCATAACTGAAATACCATACAATGGTCGCGAACAGCATCCTACTACATGTATTTACGTGTTTAACCCCATTTCCTTGAGCTTCTAGGAAACTTTTCTTCTTGTATGATTATTTTTTTGGTATTATTTAAAGTGTGCTCGATTATATAAAATCCGAATTTTAAGTTCCACTCCTAGTAAAAAATCGTGGTTTTTTGACATTCTCCTTTTTATATTCGCAAATCTATTATAAGAAATTTATTATCTTCTCATCATAAGCATCAAAGGAGGGTATGACTTTTAGACGATTTGGGGACCCCTAGGTAAACGCAAATTTCGTATTTTTCCTTCGTATTTTTTCCCGTAGAATTAAAAAATCGACCTTAAAATTACGCCAAGTAAAGGGAAAAATAGTTATAGACATTTAAATGTTGATTTTCCCTGAAAATCATGCATTTTCCAACACTACCATCTTAAATACCTTTGATCTTTTTAGAGGTGCTAAATCTTACATAGGAGACTTATTTTCTCAAAACTTGATAATGATATGAGAATATACTCTAAGCAGCAGTCAATCGGCCGAAATGGGTAACTAATTCCGAGCTCTGTCTTAAGCGGAGCGATTTGAGCGGCGAAACTATATGCTTGAGAAAAGGCTTCTTATATGCTTTCGTTTATTAATGTCTTATATAGTCCTGAAAAAGCTGGATTACAAAATCACTTTTCTACTATTTTCATAGTTAATATTTTTTTAATTGACTGCTGCTTTTTCTCTGCTGCTTAGAGTATATCTCCTATGTAACGTGAGATTTAGCACCTCTAAAAAGATCAAAGGTATTTAAGATGGTAGTGTTGGAAAATGCATGATTTTCAGGGAAAATCAACATTTAAATGTCTATAACTATTTTTTCCTTTACTTGGCGTAATTTTAAGGTCGATTTTTTAATTCTACGGGAAAAAATACGAAAGAAAAAATAGGAAATTTGCGTTCACCTAGCGGTTCCCAAATCGCCTAAAAGTCATACCCTCCTTTATTCAAGATACATTCTGAATCATAGTGGACTCAACATTTTTATCAAGAATATTAAATTAATACAAAAATTTGGTTTGCTTCCTGCATAAAACCGAACCAGCTTTTTCCTCAATAAAAAGTTTAATACAATATTCTTGTAAAGAAAATAAATCTTTTTTGAAAAGTGCATGATATAATGAGCATTTCTAAAATTTGTGATGAGTATATTTTAAGATCATATTATCAAGAAAATATTCTCTCCGGAAGATAACAATTACTTAAGAGAAGAGAAGTAAATGGAGCAATCACTTTTTCTTGGCAATAAAATGATATTTTTTGTGTGTATATTACATCGCAACCGTATGGTCAATCAATCGATAAAAGAACAATCGTTATTCCGCCGACGAGCGTGAAATCATCGAAAGTCTGCTTTTTGCACTTCATGCTGGACATGCGAGATTTCGCCATATGTGTGCACGCATATGCGGCCTTGACGTAGCTTTTCTTTCTTGTCAGCACTTTTTCTTTTTTCCTTTTTATCGCCAACGTGTCCCTGCTATTATCACGGTCGGTGGTTCTTTTTACGAAGAGAGAAGCGCCGATATCTGTTCTCGCCGCGCCTGTTCATCGCGGGGACATGTGCGTGCTGTCGGCGGCGCGACGGGCACATGTGTCGTCAATCAGACAGCGTGAGCGCGAGAATCCGCGAAAACAGACGGAGAGGGGAAAAAAGCGCAGATGCTGACGGCGTTCTTCATCATTAACACTTGCCCTCCGCTCGCCACATCCATGGCACTTGCGTGCACTTGGGATACACAGGCGCGCACGTGTGTCCTCGCGCGTGATGACACGTCGCACGAAGATGCCAGTAGAATATATCACGTAACGAGATACGCAGGAAGAAATATATTTCTGATATTCGTTAGTCTGGAAATAGGTATTTTATCGCGCGGAATACATCTGTCAGGATCGACAGGACGAGAAAATTGACCTGATGACGAAGGATAGATAGGATTACATGTTATCGGTCGCACGGATAACTTTTTTTTAGACTTCCATGATTATCACGACGTAAGATAATCGGATGATGGAAGTTTTATAATTCTTTTAATTACATTTATGAAGTAAATACATTGAATTAATTATTAAATTTATATTATACAATAATGTAAATTTTTTGTTGTATTGATGCCTCAACGAATTTACTATGAATTACAGTTCAGTTTTTCATATTATATTTAATATGACATATTTTACTTTACAAATTTTAATTATATTTTTCATATTTCCTTTGTATTTTTATATCATTATTCTATGTGATAAATATGAGTACGTCTATTAAGCTGGCACAGCCACTTTATCACAATCAAAACAATGCAACATTCCTAAAAATTAAATGCTTTTTTAGCGCTAATTAAATGCTCTGTTCCCGATTTTAGTGCTTCAGCTGATTCGCTAAACAATGGCTGCGTTAGTTTAAGATTAAAGTTAGTACAGCCATAAAGAAAAACAACTAGAAAATGAAAAACAAAGACGTATTTATTAGTGCAAATTAGATGCTAATTAAGTGCTGTATTCACGATTTTGTTACTCTGGTTGTTTCGCAAAAAAATTGCTGTATTTGTACGCATCTCATAAGTTAACGGAACAAAGTCAGCAGAATCAATTCTAACTAATTATTATTATTATTTGTTGCTTATTTATTGCTAAAAAGATGACAAAAAAAATTTGTTGCTTTGTTAGTTTTTTTTAAAAACGATGTTCCGCTAAAGGAAGATTAGTTAGCGGAACAGTATGTAAATAACAACGAAATAATAAAAAATAGAACATTACAATAGCATAGGAATTTGTTGCTAATTAGTTGCTCACAAAATACGCTAGACCCGAATATATTGCTCCGCTATTTTTTTGTTTTTATAATGTTCCGCTAAAAGAAGATGAAGAGTAAATTACGAGAAAAAAAATTTGTTGCTTGGTTGAATCTGATACTGATGTTGTCTGAATTTATTGCTCTGAAAATATTCAAGTTACGAAATTGTTACTTGCCTAATATGTTTAAATAATAGAGGAGAAGTTACAAGCGTACAAGGAGTCACAAGAGTAAACTATTAGAAAAAAAATTATTATTCGCATAAATTTGATACTGGTGTGTTGCCTGAATTTGTTGCTCTGAAAATATACAAGTTACGAAATTGTTGCTCGCGTAATATGTTTAAATAATTGAAGAGAAGTTACCAGCGTGCAAGGAATCTCAAGAGTAAACTATTAGAAAAAAAATTGTTGCTTGCATAAATTTGGTACTGGTGTGTTGCCTAAATTTGTTGGTCTGAAAATATCCAAGTTACGAATTTATTATTCGCCTAATATGTTTAAATAATAACGGAGAAGTTATCAGCGTGAAAGGAGTCACAAGAGTAAATTATTAGAAAAAAATTGTTGCTCGCATAAATTTGGTACTGATGTGTTGCTTGAATTTGTTGCTCTGAAAATATTCAAGTTAAGAATTTGTTGCTCGCCTAATATGTTTAAATAATAGCGAAGAAGTTACCAGCGTGCAAGGTGTTACAAGAGTAAACACACAGCGTGTGACTCCTTGCACGCTGGTAACTTCTCCGCTATTATTTAATATTAGGTGAGTAACAAATTCGTAACTTGGATATTTTCAGAGCAACAAATTCAGGCAACATCAGTATCAAATTCAACCGAGCAACAAATTTTTTTCTCGTAGTTTACTCTTTATCTTCTTTTAGCGGAATGTTATAAAAACAAAAAAATAGCGGAGCAATATATTCGGGATTAGCGTAGTTTGTAAGCAACTAATTAACAATAAATTCCTATGCTATTATAATATTCGATTTTTTATTGTTTCGTTGTTATTTACATACTGTTCCGCTAACTAATCTTCCTTTAGCGGAACATCGTTTTTAAAAAAAACTAACAGAGCAACAAATTTTTTTCTTTGTTAACTTTTTAGCAACAAATGAGCAACAAATAATAACATTAGTTAGAATTGATTCTGCTGACTTTGTTCCGCTAACTTATAAGACATTGTATTTGTTTCAGATTAAAGTTACGACAGCCATAAAGAACAGTAACTAAAAAATGAAAACCGAACACGTAGTTTTACAGTACGAATTAAGTACTAACTAAGTACTCTATTCCCGATTTTAATGTTCTAGCTGATTTGCTAAAAACAATAGCTATGCTAGCTTAAGATTAAAGTTAACACAACCACAAAGGAAAAAAAACGAAAAATGAAAAACGAAGATGTATTTTTTAGTGCAAATTAAGTGCTAATTAAATACTTTATTCCCGATTTTGTTGCTCCAACCATTTCGCTAAAAATAATGGCTATGTTAGCTTAAAGTTAGGATTAAAGCACAGTCACAAAGAAAAACAAGTCGAAAATGATAAACAAGGATTTTTTACCGCAAATTAAGTGCTAATAAAATATTATATTCACGATTTTGCTCCGCCATTTCGCAAAAAAATCAGCTTCAGATGCGTTGCGACAATCATCGAAGTACAGAGAGACGGCCGCGGTCGCTTAAGCTAACACAGCCATTGTTTTTAGCGAATCAGCTAAAGCACTAAAATCGGAAATAAAGCACTTAATTAGCACTAAAAAAGCACTTAATTTTTAGGTATATCGCATTCGATTGTGCTGAAGTGGCTGTGCCAGCTTAATAGATGTGAGTACAATCTGTTTAGTTATAAGGAACTTGGCGTTGCAAATTCATGATTTAATATATTTCAAGTTGCTGCAAAGATTACGTACATTAATTTATCAGGTTTGAATCTATTCGCTGTAGTATGGAATTCTTCGGAAATATGTTTAAAACGATTCTCTGAATTGTTATTTGATTTAATTTGTTGCCCACATAGCAAATAACATAAATTTAGCAATAACTTTATTGGTTAATTCGTAAAGGTTTCAGCTCTTATGAATATTTTACAGGGCATTTATATTTATTACATAGAATGACGAAATAGAAATACGAAAGAGATACGAGAAAAGATCGAAATTTATTCAAAATAATATGTCATATTAAATGTAATATGAAAATTTTGAAAATGAGATTAATTTTGAGTAAATTTTTTGCTGCATTAATATAACACAAAATTCATATAATTGTATAATGTAAATTTAATTGTTAATTTAATACTGTATATTTACTTTATCAATTATCTCACGTCGTGATAATCATGAAAGTCTATCTGTGTGTTTAATTGGAATTGCTGAGTTCTAACGTGACGTTTGAAGAGGAATACAAATTTAATATTGAGTTCTCTATAAGAAATATGCTTCTGATGCTCGTTAGTCTGGAAGTGCGTATTTATCACGCGAGATACATACATCAGGATCGATTTTCGACGGGATGAGAAAATTAGGCTAGCAACGATGGATTAATAGGATTATGTGTCATCAATTGTAGGAGTAAGTTGATTCTATTCATTGTACTTTGAAATTTCTCGGAAATATATTTAAAGATTTTATAAATTTATTATTTGATTTGATTCGTTGTTTCATTGGGATTGCTGAATTCTAACACGATATTCGAGGAGAATATATATATATATATATATATATATATATATATATATATAGCTTCGAATATTATGCTTCGAATTGATTATATATATATATATATATATATATATATATATATATATATATATATATATATATATATATATATATATATATAATTCAACATTGTGTTCTTTCTACCTTTCTTTTTCTTTTTTATGTTAAGATTGAGCTCATACATACTGAGAGTATCCGGTTTGCGAAGCTACGCGGAATGTAATTTCACCAAATTGCTAATTAGTATAAGTAAGATTATATGAAAGCGCTCTAATTGGTGGCAAAATCTTTTTTCATATGCAATAATTGCCATGCAGTACATCCCACATTAGCACTTTGCTGTGTTTTTTTAGCAAATGCTTCGAATTGATTATTTTAAATAGCGTTATATTTTCCACTGCCAATTATTTGGAACAATAAATTTTACTTTTAGCGTCGCTCTAATCAATCACATATTTCTACGCGCTTTTTTTTTATTTAGATATAATCACTTTTATGAAGTTATAGTGGAATAAATATATTGCTTGTACCATAAGGTTTTATATGCAAAATTATGTGATATTAAATTCGATATTAAATTTCTCACGAACGGTGTAGACAAGTCGCATGGAATTTTAACAAATGTTTTCACTAAACTACGAATGTGCTTCACTACGATGAATGTTACGTTAAATGTTTGTATAATTTTTAGTATTTTTTTTTAGTGAATTTGAGTGAATAAATCCTTCTTAAGCTGAGACATCAGCTCAGAAATGCGACACTTCTGGTACACCTAGTAAACTCATCCTAAATATGAGATAAAAAAAACTTTGCCGAAAGCTATTCTGATTCTCATCAAGTTGGTTTCATGAGTTTAGTATGATCAGGTAAAGTGGTGTGTCGTCACGTACGTGACATTAACCCAACCGATTGGGTGAAGAAAGAGAGATCTATTACTTTGCTGGGTATCTGGTAAGAAGTGGTATTTCCTTTCAGCAAACGGATTATTTACGCAATGTCACTCACAACGGTTCCGCTTTTTTTTCGCGACTATTGCAGGGAAGCGGAAGAGCGCCGTGGAGCTGTTGCAAGAGACGAAAGCCTTTTACGTGAAGAGCGAGACCGTACTGGATCGGAAGCAGGAGCTGAAGAACAGCGGCCACCTACAGGTCTCGCAGTTGAGCGCACCGGGCGCGCCACCCAGATTGCTGCGGAAATGCGCTGGCAACTCGTCTACTTGCCCTATGCAGCCGACATCGCCGTCGCAGATACCAACCCCCTTAACGCCGCCTTGCTGCTGGGTCTCGTGTCACGAACAGGACAGACGTAAGTCGCTCATAACGTGAGAGAGATTCTGCAAATCCAAAGAGATACCAAATGCGATTCTGACGTTAAGTCGAGTACACGGCGAATCCAATCGTGAAGGGTTATAATTCATCAAGGTTCTTTATTCCGAGAGAAGTTCTGACAGGATTCTAAATCCTTTCTTTTTCAGCAAGTCGTTGAATTATCAGTATCGTGTTTTTGAGATTAAGTAAAAAAAAATTACCTTTCTAAAGCTGGCAGAATCAAATCAGCAGAATCAAACCGGACCTATTACATTATTCAGTATCCATTTTGCACCAACTTATATTACTAACAATTTTTTTTACTTCTCTTTTTCTCTCTCGTGCCGTGTTGGAAAAAACAGTAGCGCTGCTAGCTTAATATTAAGCTAGCAGGACCACTATTGTTATTTTTACTAGCGTAAAGTACAATATTTCTTTTAGTGATACAAATCAATACAAATTCGGGCCTTTTTATTTATATATTTGTTTTCCTTATTTCTTTTTTCGTGTGGTTCTGCTAGCTTAATATTAAGCTAACAGCGTTAGTGTTTTTCCGAAACGATACGAAAAAAAGTACAAAAATTTTTCTGATGATAGAAATTAATATTAAGTAGACATTAAATAATGTAATAGGTTTGATTTGATTCTGCTGATTTTATTTTATTAGCTTTAAGAGGTTAAAAATTGTCACGCAATGATATCGCGTTATTGAGGTAGAAGTCTCTTTTGCGATGCAGTATGCCAACTTTGAAATTAAGGCAATTATCCAAGTGGAAAAAGCGACTTCTTCGTAGCCAATAGCTGACCAGGAATTTTAGTTACTGGCTAGTTTCTCTAGCTAGTTTAGACAATGCTTCGCTTCGTTAGTAATTGGACAATCAGTTTCTGGTCAATTTTTGACGAGTTTTTGACTAGTTTTTAACCAAATATTTTTTATACAAAATCCTGTCAAATAGTTTTCATCGTTCGATTTTACATTGTGAAATCTTACATTTTATTATTCAACGTAAAAATAACGTGAAACTTGTATTTCAGAACACAATCTTTTCATGTGCAAATGCGTGCATTGTTAAGATGATTGTAACTTTATTTTTAATTACCATTTTTTTTTTTGTTTAATTTCTGGCCAGTAATTTACTAAGAAACGTTATGTATCGACTGATTTACCAAGAAACATTGTATGCCAGTATGTTCTGAATTTTTATTAGACAGAAAGACTGCTCAGCATTTATTAACTATTTTTTATTGCTTAGTTTCTGACTAGTAACTGGTCAAGAAATGCTGGCTAGTATTTTTCTGTAGAGTTTCTGAATAGCTATTATCTAATAAATGCAAACCAATAAAACCTGGCCAGTTTCTGACTAGTAACCAGTTTTTCTCGGAAATGTTTCTACTTGGGTACATATTTATCTCAAAACATTTAGAAAATGAGATTTTGATTGCCGCCTGCTTCGATCGAATCTTATTGCCGACGCTATGCCCGGTTTTCATTACTTTTTTTTTAATATCAATTTATGTATCACGAATTATATACAGGGTGTCCCGAAGTCCCATGATGACCCTTGGTGAGAACGTAGAACGGATTGAGGTGAGCAAGAAAGTCCTGTGCCATTTTGCGATATTCGCAATAGTTTTTGAGAAATTAATTATTTTGTCTCAACAAATCAGCGTACAGAAAGCGGCAGCGGAAAGAAAGATGCCTTCGGCCGACGTGCGACCGTGACACTCGCGAATCGTATCTCGCCGCATCCCTCCGCCCATA